CCCTCCATTGCATAGCTGGGGAAAATGCTGGAAAGAGAGTTGACTTGGTGAAAGTCATAGAGCTGATCGGTAGAGAAGGGTGAGGGCTGAACTAGGGCTCCTATCTCCAGACCCAACTTGTCTAACACATGTTTATGTCACAGTGGGCACCCAAATAGAAATAGATGTGAATTCAAGAACATAATGTGACTTGGTGTCTCTTATTAGAAACTGGCCTCCTTTTGGTAGCTCTGTCAGGCTTATCTCTAAGGCCTGTCCACTGGGGAAAAATGGCCTGTGAAGCATTTTTTAAATTGATTTTAGAGCGAGAGGAGGGGGAAGGAGAGAAAAAGAGAGAGAGAGAGAGAGAGAGACATCAGTGTGAGAGAGAAACATTGAATGGCTGCCTCCTGCACGCCCCCTACTGGGGATGGAGCCTGCAACCTGGGTATATGGCCTGACCGGGAATTGAAGCGTGACCTCCTGGTCCATAGGTCGATGCTCAATCACTGAGCCACACTGGCCAGCCTCTCTCTATTTTAAATAGGAAATACTTAAAGCTAAATTCTCATTCAAACTAAGAGGTAAGAAGTGATACCTCTTGGTAGAGGAAGATGACGATTCATTAGTTTCCATTTTTATGTGTAGTTAAGGTTAATTAGGACCCTTTTGAAATTGAGTGTATTGAAGCTTTAATGTATGCACAAGTTGGTTGAGCAGTTTTAATTAAAACATTTCTATTTTGAGATTAATTGCTTTCAGTACTATGAGATTAATGAGGCCTAGTCATGTTGTGGATACTCAATAAATATTAGTTTGGAAATTAGAAAATACTTTGATATTTTAGAATCTCGCCTGTAGTATAGTGTCTTATATTCTTTCTCAAATCTGGGGAAACTCAATATATCAAATTTACTACTTTAATTTAAAAATATTTTTCCTTCCTATTTAATTTTTAAAATTTTGTACTTGAAAATAATTTTGAATTCATAAAAGTTACAAAAAGTAAAATTATACACACACACTTCTCTGTGTGTGTGTATATACATACATGTGTGTGTATATATGTATGCATATATGTACACACATATAATTTTTTTCTGAATCATTTGAGCTTGTTATGTACATTGTGCCCCTTTTCCTAAATATTTAGTTTGTGCTTCCTAAGAATAAAATATTTTCTGTCCTAGCCAGTTTGGCTCAGTGGATAGATCGTCAGCCTGCGGACTGAAGGGTCTTGGGTTCAGTTCCGGTCAAGGGCACATGCCCAGGTTGCAGGCTCAATCCCCAGGGTGGGGTGTGCAAGAGGCAGCCAAACAATGATTCTCTCTCATCATTGATGTTTCTATCTCTCTCTCTCCTTCTTCTTCCTCTCTGAAATCAATATATATATATATTTAAAAGAATAAAATATCCTGCCCTAACCAGTTTGGCTCAGTGGATAGAGCATCGGCCTGCGGACTAAAAGGTCCCAGGTTTGATTCCGATCAAGGGCATGCACCTGGGTTGCGGGCACATCCCCAATAGGGGGTGTGCAGGAGGCAGCTGATCAATGTTTCTCTCTCATCGATGTTTCTAACTCTATCCCTCTCCCTTCCTCTCTGTAAAAAATCAATAAAATATATTTTTAAAAAAGAAAAGAATAAAACATCCTATATAATAAAAGGTTAATATGCAAATCAACCAAACGGCCGAGCGACTGGTCGCTAAGACGTGCACTGCCCCCAGGGGGCAGACGTTCAATGCAGGAACTGCCCTTTGGTGGTCAGTACACTCCCCCAGGGGGTGCCCCACTCACCCAGATGTGGGCTCATGGCTGGCCAGCGCAGCAGTGGTGGCGGGAGTCTCTCCCACCTCTGCAGCAGTGCTAAGGATTTCTGACTGCCGGCTTAGGCCCCCTCCTTGTGGGCCTAACCCAGCAGTTGAACATCCCCTGAGGGCTCCCAGACTGTGAGAGGGCACAGGCGAGGCTGAGGGACTCCCCCCCCCCCCCGCCAAGTGCACGAATTTCGTGCACCGGGCCTCTAGTTTTTATATAAAACACATTATAGTTATTAATTTCATAATTATGCCTTGATTGAATATTTTTATCTACTGTATCATCTATGTTCCAGTTTTGTCAAGTGGCCTAATAAAATCATGGATAGCCTTTTTGCCCTTCAGTACAGGGTCTAGAGACAGATATTACATTTAATTGTCATGACTTGTAGCCTCCTTTTGAATATGGAGCGTTTCCACAGCTCTCTTTGTCTTCTCTGTCATTGACATGTTTTAAGAATACAGTGTTCCTTGGGTTTGTTTGCTGTTTGCTCTTGATTAGCTTGAGTCTCTGCATGCTCAGAGCATTGCACAGGTGATAGTGTCTAAGGCACATGATGGCCATCTGACCCCACTGGTGATGTTAATTTTGATCATCCAGTAAAGATGTTATCTAATCTCTCCACTGTGTAGGTTTTGGATTTTTTTCCTTTCTTGTAGCTAATAAGACACTTGAAGACAAAATTTACCGTAGATTTAGCATCCTTTAATGATTTTTGCTGGATCCAATCTTTGCCATGATGGTTGCAAAAAGAGGATTATCTCATTCTAGTGGTCTCTCCAACTTACTGATTATTAGTCTTTGGCTTTCTCCTGAGCAAGAGCTCTCCTTCCTCTTCTCTGTTTATTATGTATTATCAGTGTGGACTCAGCAATTCATATTTTTTCAGTAGTTTGTAATTTATTACTGTACTTAATATTTTGGTACTTAGCTTCCAGATTTGGCTAGTGAGAGCTTCTTCAAATTGGTCCCTGTATCCATGTGACACATTCCCACCAATTTTTTCTCCCACCATTTTTTTTTAACATATCCTTACTTTCTGGTGTAGAAAAATATTTTGAACTCATCTTGTACCTGTCCTGTCCCTATTGTGGAATCAGGCATTTCCCTGAGGAGTCCTGCTCCTTTTAGGGGGAATGGTATTAGATACCAAGATCTGGGCACTAGGTATGCTCATTGCTACTGGGATGTCCTCTTTTAGACTTTTTCAGCAAAGTAGGAGATTTCTCTCTCTCTCTCTCTCTCTCTCTCTCTCTCTCTCTCTCTCACACACACACACACACACACACACACACACACACACACACACACATTGGGGATGTCATGAGCACATACCGGTGTCTTCCATTGCAATGTATCTCCTCCCAGAGTTATTTGTCTTTTCCCATTAGAGAGAACCCCGGCTCCCAACAGTATCAACATTTACTCATTTGCTCAATCCTGAAATGTATCTAAAATACCTTCAGAATTGCTTTGCCTGTACTACTATGGTAAGCAAACCTAGTAAAAAGAGTGGGGAGTTTGTAATTCTTTCCTTCATGCCCAATACTGAGGGTATATTAGTCAAATATTGTGTTCATAAGTTACATTCATTCTTTCTTTCATCCTTCCTTTTTCCTTTCCCTTCGGTGTAGTTATGTTATTCTTTTGAAATAAAATTTGGCTCATTTGTTTTCATTTGCTTTCCATTATAGGTTTCTCCTCATTCCCATTCTTTTTGTTTGTTAATCCTCACCCGAGGATATTTTTTCCATTGGTTTTTTAGAGAAAATGGAAGGGAGAGACAGAGAGAGAGAAACATTGATGTGAGAGGGGCACATTGATTGATCGCCTCCCACACACACACCCCAGTCAGTCCCTATCCGTCCCAATCCCAGTCCTGATCCCAGTCCCAATGGGGGAGGAACGCACAGGGGGAGTGTCTGTGGGAGAGTCTTGCGCCGCTGCAGCTGCGTTCGCCACCTGTGAGCTCGGCATCTGGCACCCGTTGGTGAGCCTGCAACCGAGGTATGACGTGCCCTTGACCAGAGTAGAACCCAAGACCCTCACTCCACAGGCCAGCGCTCTAACCACTGAGACAAACTGGCTAGGGCATCATTCCCATTTTTTCTGGGTTTGATTTTTTAAAATTATTTTTATTGATTTCAGAGAGGAAGGGAGAGGGAGAGAAAGTTAGAAACATCACTGAGGAGAGAGAATCATTGATCGGCTGCCTCCCACACGTGTGCGCCCTCCCCCACCCCCACTGGGGATTGAGCCCACAACCTGGGCATGTGCCCTTGACTGGAATAGAACTAGGGACCCTTCAGTCCACAGGCCAATGCTCTAACCACTGAGAAAACCATCTAGGGCCCCATTATTACTGTTTTAATTTTATTTTTTGAAGTGTATAATATTAACATGCTCTCAAAATTCAAAACCATACTAAAACTTTTAGTTTTATTTCCACCTTTTTTTTTTAAGGAAAAAGATATATAACTAGAAAAGGGCATTTATTATACCTGTGTTCAGTTTTGTTGTTATTTAAATTAAATTTTGTCTATTGAGATAAAGATTACAAGAAACTTAATTTTTTGAAACATCCTTGAGTCTCAGTGATTTGTAACTTTGATTCCTGGAGACAGTGGTTCTGAGTGATTTCCCATCCCAGCACGCAGAGTTATGTCCAGTGTTCTCAGTAGCAATCACTCCAGGCTGTGGTGATTGGGTAGGGGTGGGAGTGCAGGAGGGGTGAGATGCTTGCTGAGGGTTAATGAGAGCATTGCAGCCTCCCAAGTATACTGGTCAAGGAAGATCACAGAGACTCCTGTGGTACAAAGACCAGTGGCTGTGTAATGAGACAAAATAATCAGGTAAGCAAACACAAAAAATTTAGTTCCAGATTAGTATAAGCAAGAAGAAATACCACCTTAGTGCCTTAGCTCTGCTGCCTCAAAATGCCCCTTCCTTTGTCTTCCCACAAAGGAGCTTGATGGGAATTCTGTGGCTTAATGCTAGTCTCGGCAGCAGGTCTGAACAGTCACACAAGTAGATGATTTATGCCCACCCTGTATTTGCCATTTCTAATGTGTCTATCGGGTTTATAAATCTTTTAATGCAGGATTCCTCTCAGGCACACCAGCTATAATTTAGCTGGTTGAAAGAACTAACAGTGTCTTCATGGAAGTGTCATAATATAGCTGTGTTTTCTCTCTTGCCGCAGCCTTAATACAGATACTGGCAGCTGCTGTAGCTGAGCGGGATGTGGTTTATTTCACCTTTGGGGACTCGGAATTGATGAGAGACATTTACAGCATGCACACTTTTCTTACCGAAAGGAAACTGACTGTTGGTAAGTAGGAGACAGTCTTGACACTGCTGTCCAATGGATTTAGGAGGGGCACCTGCCACATCTGGATGGATCACAGTGAATAAGAAAAAAATCAAGTGTGATTTTTGAGGAGGGGAGGCAAAGTTTTAGAGAGGCGTCATTGGTAGGATCATTGTTTTCTGGCAAAGTGTCATTCACAGTTTTGAAAGGGTATATCATCTTATTAAAGTAAAGGCTAAGAAGCTGGGGTTAGTGTCCACTTTTATGTTTGTGTGTACAGAAAACTAAAGGAAGGAAGCGTAGGGGGCAAGTTCAATCCTAAGAAGCCTCATTCTGAGCTCTGCTTAGCAGACATGCCAGCTTGCTCACCTAGTGTTTCCGCTGGACAGGAGAGCCCAGTGCAGAATCAGAGCTGCTGCAGCCTCCCAAAGGATGCGTGGATAATGTGCGACACACGGAGGCAAAGTAGTTGACAGTTGTTCGGATGGAAAATAGTACAGTAATGAATACATACTAATACAAGAATGAACTCTGTTTCATGTACCCACAACTGTAAACTTACTTTTGCCCCACCCTGTATATAGCCTGTTGGAATCATGAGCTAATAAATAGTTTCTTTAAGGTATTTTTAAAATTTTTATCTTTATGTCAGGAAAGCCTTCCAGGCATATGAAATTCATACTCTATTTTCAAATTTAAACATATGTTATTTAGATTAAGATAAAACTGAGTGTTGTTTAGTAGTTTCATCCATCTATATACCTTAATGTGCAAATTGGTCTTGCCCTTTACTCCCAGGAGAAGTATATAAGCTGTTGCTACGCTATTACAATGAAGAATGTAGAAACTGTTCCACCCCCGGACCTGACATGAAGCTTTACCCATTCATATACCAGGCCGTTGAGTCCTGTGCGGAGACCACCAACCAGCCAGGACAAAGGACTGGGGCCTGAGGAGCAGAGTGACTAGAACCTCCTTCCACCTCCTTGCAGAAACATCCTGTGTGAATTGTCAGGTGTAATATATGAACTGACTTCATAGAATGTGTGTATAATCCACACTTGTGTGCAAGGATGCCATCTCTTCTCCGCGGTGGCAGTTGTCAGTGTGTACATCCAAGTCCCCTCCATCTGGACTTGTGTCAACTTAGATATATATTGTTTTCATTTATCCTGTTTCAATCTCCACTCTGATTGTTCTTCCTTTTGCCCGTCAGATTTCTTGGGAAGTCCCATGAAAGGTTGGGCTCATCCCATCAGGTCTCTTTTTTGATGCCTGTGTATTATACCAATGGCCTCTGTACCACAGACCCAGTAGCGCCAGGGAAGAAGTTGCAGTCCACGAATCTCTTCAGCTGGGTCTGCTAAAGCTCTCTCCAGGGGCCTCTCATCCCAGCTCTTGGTAAGATTACATTGTCTGAGATTTTGAATTTAGAAAACTAAGAGCTGGGCTTTTTTCATTCATGTTATATAATTCAAATCTCCTAAGTTAAAACAATTTTGTATTTAAGACAGAATAATTTCCAGAAATACCTATTTTGAGACATCACCTTTATCTGTTATAGTTTTTCTGTCCTTTTTTCCCTCATCAATTTTTATTGATAATGGTTATAGAAACTGACCAAGATGGGAAAAAAGGTAGAATAAGAGAGAATTTCCCCAAATGATGTTTAAAAAAACTAGATTCAAGAGAGTTGAGGGATTTTTTGTTTCTTGGGATTTTTTCTTTTTCTTTTTAAATTAGGATTATTGTTTGTTCCTTGGTGCTTAAGGCATCATCATACAACCAAAGTTTATGAACTGGGAACTTAGTGTTGATTTGTTCATATTGAAGTTTCTCTGGTATTCAAGGTTATATAGTTAATAAATTTTCATTAACAATCATTTGTCAGAAACTCATTATCTATATTTATATGTAATATAAATATATCTTCTCTAAGCGTGTCTGTGCAACCACATAAAGTCTAAATAAAACTGGAGTTGTGGAAAAGGATTCCGTTTAAGCTTTATCAGGGCCTTTGTTTCAAATCTTATTTACAGTTGTGTCCCTTTAAAACTGGCAACAAACTAATAATGTCTTTTGAAGGTTTCAAGTAAAAACCAATACCAATTCTGTGTTAATGGAGAGTAGAGTTTAATCACAAAAGCATTTATTTCAGTTTCTAAAATAATTGTAAACCATACCGTAGAAGTTCTGGTTTATAGTCAGTGTCAGGAAAAGCTATTGGAGGTCAAATCCTAATAATGAGGAGTTTGGGTGATGGTCCAAACTCCTGGTGTCAGCATTGGCAGGGAATAAAGGGGGCTTGGCCAATGTCTGTAACTTTTTTGTTTGCATAGATTGAGAGGTTAATGGATTTGGAACCTAAAGGCAGCCACTTACTATTAACCAAGTTTTTTGCCATAGTAACTAAGATTTTTATTCATCTCCCTAGATCCGAAGTGTCTGGCTGTATTTCTGTTGATACTAAAGTTTCCTCTTTCCTCTCTAACCCATTCTATGCTTTGGTAAACATTCATAGTTATATTTTATTTCTTTATTCTAGCTCCATATTTTTCCCTTCTTACCCAGCCCCAAGACTAAGTGAAAAGTTCTTTAAAACACTGTGAAAAGTATAGGATGATTATGTGGGAGCTAAGCCGTTATATCCAGCTAAGAAGTCCTCCCATAGATTATAAAACCTTTCTTTTATGTACCATTTTTAAAAATTACTGCAAATTGGAATATGATATTCCATTAATTTTGTAAGTATTTGGATTTCAGGTGCCACAATATGAAGAAAAAGTTCATTTTGGAATTAATGAAATATGGTATCTGTGGAATAAATGTATACTCTGAAATACTGTGCTTCATACATGTTCAGCAGCAGATTAGAGTATATTTTAGGCTACTACCAATTCTAGAGAGAGTATATTTCTTCCTAAATACTGAATTTTTATGTCTAAGTTTATAGGTTACTCTCACAAACCTTAATAGAAATTACAACACTCCGACATGATGGTCTCCACCTTCTCACCAAGGACCCCTTTTATTGTTTTGTTCTCAAAGTCCCCATATTTTGAAATACTTTGATATCAAGTAAAATTCATTTGTTAAGCTAATTGTTTTCATTTTTAATCAATTAAATGTGCAGTGTTCAGACTAAGACAATGTAATTCCAGCTAAAACAAGAAACCTTCTGATATTTGACAAAGGAGCAAAGGCAATTCAATGGAGAAAGTATAGTCTTTTCAACAAATGTTCAAACGACATCCACATGCAAAAAAATATTAATCTAGACACTGACCTTATACCTTTCACAGAATTAACTAAAAATGATCATAAACTAATGTAAAATACAAAACTATAAAATTTCTTGAAGATAACAAGCCAAAACCTAGGTGACTTTGGCTTGGTGATGAGTTTTTAGATACAACACCAAAAACACCATTCATGAAAGAAAAAAATAGATAGGTTAGACCTAATTAAAATAAATAACTTTGCAAAAGACACTATTAAGGAAATGAAAAGGCAAGCTATATTTGCAAGACATTTATCTGATAAGAGATCTGAATCCAAAATGTACAAAGAACTCTTAAACTCAACAATAAGAAAACAATCCAATCCTATATAATAAAAGGGTAATATGCAAACTGACCCTAACAGCAGAACAACTGGGAATGACTGGTCACTATGACACACACTGACCACCAGGGGGCAGACGCTCAATGCAGGAACTGCTCCCTGGTGGTCAGTGCGCTCCCACAGGGGGAGCTCTGCTCAGCCACATGCCAGGCTGACGGCTGCCAGTACAGGGGTGGTGGTGGGAGCCTCTCCTGCCTCCTCAGCAGCGCTAAGGATGTCCGACTGCAGCTTAGGCCTGCTCCCCGCTGGCAAGTGGACATCCCCTGAGGGCTCCGGGCTGCCAGAGGGATGTCTGACTGCCAGCTTAGGCCCAATCCCCCAGGGAGCAGGCCTAAGCCAGCAGGTGGACATCCCCCCGAGGGGTCCCAGACTGCGAGAGGGCACAGGCCGGGCTGAGGGACCCCCTCGAGTGCACAATTTTTTGTGCACCAGGCCTCTAGTTAAAAAGAAGAACCACTACACACCGATTAGAATGGTGAAAATCCAAAACATTGACAACACCAAATGCTCCAAATTGGAGCAACAAGAACTCTCTTTCATTGCTGGTGGAAATATAAAATGGTACAGCCACTTTGGAAAATAGTTTGGTGATTTCATATAAAACTAAATATACTCTTATTATACAATCCAGCAATCACACTTCTTAGTATACCAGTAAAGGAGATGTATGTATCCATTATACATTTGTCAAAACCCATAGAATGTAAAAATTTCAATTTCAGTTGACATACAATATTAGATTAGTTTCAGGAGCACACCATAGCGATTAGACATTTACATAACTTACAAAGTGATCACCCTGATAAATCTAGCACTTATCTGACACCACACAGGAGTGGGCAAAAGTAAGTTTATAGTTGTTCAGATGGAAAATCTACACTAATAAAAGAGAAAGATGCAAATTGACCTCACCTCCGTGATGCCCACCAGCCAATCAGGAGTGAGTATGCAAATTAACCCAACAAAGATGGGTTAATTTGCATTTGCAGGCACCGAGTGGCCGGGGGTGTTCCGCACTGCCCCAGCCGCTCTGGGCCTCTGGGAAGTGTGGGAAGGCGGAAAGGCAGTTCCGGGCCAGAGCGAAGGCGGTGACAGCAGCCAGGGGAAGGAAGGCCCATTCTTGCATGAATCTTCGTGCATCGGGCCTCTAGTAATATAATAATTAAGAATAAACTGTTTCATGTACTCACAACTGTAAGCCTACTTTTGCCCACCTCTGTACATATCACTTGTTTTAATTTTCAGTTTCCTAATGATATATAACATTGAGCATCTTTCTTTTTTTTTTTTTACATTTTATTAAATTTACTAGAGGCCCGATGCATGAAATTCGTGCAAGAGTAGGCCTTCCAAGCCCTGGCTGCCTTGGCCCTCACAGCCCCGCCCTGGCTTTGTCTGGAAGGTCATCCGTAAGGTCGTCTGCAGTTTGGCTGTTCGATTTGCATATTATGCTTTTATTATTATAGATTGGAGTAGCTATAACACTAAGAGTGAGCCCTAATGTAAACCATGGGCTTTGGGTGATTATTGTGTGTCCATGTCAGTTTTGCAGTTATAATAAATGTCCCTTTCTGTTGCAGGATGTTGCTAGAGGGGGAGGCTGTGCATATATGGGGACTGGGGATATATGGGAAATCTCTACCTTTTGTTCAATTTTGCTGTAAACCTAACTGCTCTAAAAACTTGTGTTTTTAAAAAATACTCCTCACCCTGGCTCAGGTTGTAGTGTCATCCTGTACACCAAAAAGGTTGCGGGTTTGATTCCCGATCAGAGCACATACCAAGGTTGTAGGTTCAGATTCCCAGTTGGGGTGCCTAAGAGAAGCAACTGATCAATGTTTCTCTCTCACGCTCTTTCTCTCTCTCCACCTCTCCCTCTCCCTTTCTCTCCAAAAAATAAATAAAAACATATCCTCGAGTGAGAATTAAAAATAATAAATAAATAAAAATTAAAATCCTATCTAATAAAAGAGAAACATGGTAATTAGCTGTACAGCCGCTACCCTTCCCATTGGCTAATCAGGGAGATATGCAAATTAACTGCCAACCAAGATGGCGGCCGGCAGCCAGGCAGCTTGAAGCGAACAGGGAGGCTTGCTTGCTTCAGTGACAGAGGAAGCCAAGCTTCCCCGCCTGCCTTGCCGGCCTCTGAGATTGCAGTTTGAAACATTGTAACAAATATAGAAGCTAAACAAAACCCCAGAAACCACTTTCAGTCAGCCAGGCTTCAGCCAGCAAGACCGCAACATTGTTTCAAATACAGAAGGTAAACAAAGGCCAGAAACCTGCTTTCAGCAGCCGAGCCTCAGAGAGAAAGCCGGCTCTCAGCTCCAGTGACAGGCATAGAATGTAAATAAATGCCAGAATAAAAAAAAAAAAAAAAGAGAGAGAGGTTTGGAGCTTCAGTCGCCTGCCAGCCTGAAAACAGCCCTCAGCCCCTCACCCAGACTGGCCAGGCACCCCAGTGGGGACCCCCACCCTGAAGCAACAAGATGGCGGCTAATTTGCATACTGAAGGCAGGCGGCAGCAGGCAAGGCTGTCTGCGGTCTGGGACCCAGATCTGTGACCCTGCCAGGCGGGGGGCAGTGCTTGAGGCTGTTCGCGGTCTGGGACCTGGATCCATGTCCTCGCGAGTGGGGCGGCAGTGCTTGAGGCTGTCCATGGTCCCAGGACCCGGATCTGTGACCCTGCCGGGCGGGGGGCACCACGGGAGGCTGTCTGCAGTCCGGGACTCGGATCTGTGACCCTGCCGGGCGAGGGGCAGTGCTTGAGGCTGTCCGTGGTCCCTGGACCGGGATCCGTGACCTGGTGGGCAGGGGGGCAGCACGGGAGGCTGTGCACAGTCCCGGGACTCGGATCCGTGACCCTTCACAGCGGGGAGGCAGCCATCAGCGCCCAGGAGTGACTGCGCAAGATCCGCCTCCTGGCCCAGAAGGTGCAGGATCGCAGGGACAGCCACCGTGGCGGGCCAGACTGACGTCCTCCTGGCCGCACCACGGGGGTTTGCGGATCTGCAAAGCCAGAGGCCTCCGGTGTGCACATCCCCCCCTGGCGTGTGAACATCCCCCAGCACACTGTCACCCTCCCACGCCTGCAACAGTTGCAAACCAAGGCGTGCACAAGTTCCCCCCGCCTCTCCACCGCACTTCCATCAACCCGGCATGCCTAACACCCCCCACAGGATGTGCACACATCTCCTCTGATGCGCTCACGTCCTTTGGAGAGTGTCTGAGTGTTCTGGGTGCTGAGAGTGGGCACCTGAGAGATGACAGTGAGAGGGCGGAGTGGTGATGCCCTGTTCCCACGGAGGCCAGTGCAGCTATGAGATCACCTCTGGGGGCTAATGCAGGTGCTGAGGCAGGAGCAGGTGCAGACAGACACAC